CCTGTCTCAGCTGGGTGTTTCACGAGTGATTCCATCATAAACTTCCGCTCATTTCCATCCCTCGGGCACGCCATTGCCTCTGAGCAGAGCTCGGTGGAGTTCTGAGGGATCTCGGGTTTAAACCGGAGGAGTTTAGAGTATTGGATTAAGAGATGGAACATGTAATCGTACACATAGTCCATTTTAAGTTCTTGTTGCACAAACTCACTTGCCTTCTTCCCGATGTCTTGGGCCTAGTAAGACAAAGAACGGTGAGATAATAACATTAAGAGTACTTAGACCCGATTCTCAATCAAACATTCATGAAGCGCATATAAATGTGTGTTGGTTGAATTCAGCTAATAGAGATTGAATCCAGTAAACTAAGCCAAGAGAATTCACTACCTAATGTGTGTTGATTGAAATAAATGGACCTCGGTGTAGATATTATTAGATTATACTGAGATTGAGAACCAGTTAACACAACCCAAGTTTAATCTGATACTGTTTAAAGGGATATCATACCTTTCGCATATGCAAGTTGCCCCAATCAACGGCGAATTTGATGGAGCGACATTTGTCGTCTTCCTTGACGGGCCAATAATGGTGTCCTGGAAACATACCTCGTGTAAAGAAATCGTAGTAATGAGGTTTGACCAGCAATGTCACCGAGTCACATGCCAGAATGTACTTCTCACTCACCGACCATGCAGACCCTTCTATGTAAATCTTGTACCTGCATAACAATATTTTTTGCATAAGCCATTTCTTAGAACCCAAAAGTAATGTAAAGGTTCCTCTAAGAAGACTATGTGCTACTACTACCTGTGATGGCATTGACTCGCCAAGTCTGACTGCTTGTAACCTTCCTTTGATTCCTTGACCCAGTCCTTCAAAAATACACCAAAATTAAACACATAGAGAAGTACTATATAAACATTTCCCGACATCACATTCCTAAAACTCCCAACTTTTGCACCATAGTACATCATCAACCATTAAGAACTAAACGAACAATATCAACTATAGATCCACCGCTTGTGTTGATTAGTACAGATATCGCTGCTAATATTCTCCAACAAAAAGCGTTCAAATACACATGTTTGGAGAGCCACATCAATGTCAACAAGATGGCGACACAAGATGCACTCAAGTTGCTCAACCTTTCAAGTTAGCACAGCACTAGAGTCTAGATACTGTTTTAAGAAACTTTCTTTTACTTAATGCAGATGATTTTAAGCAATGGGAATCGAATCCAAGACTCTCTTAACTAATTGAATCATAGAACAAGAACAACGTGATATCGGCATAGAGTCAATCACCTGCTTGTACAAACGAGCTTTCCAGTCATACTCCTCGGAGAGATTACATTTCATGAGATCAAGTCTCGTCTCAGCAACCGTCGGATTCCCTTTCCAGTAAGCATAAGGTTCTCTGTCTATCCATTTAGTCCTCTGGTTCCCTTCTCTAAGTTCTTTCAATAGACTCTCCCATGGCTTTATATTCACCTCAGCCCTACAAAACCAATGCAATTCTCTCATCTCTAGCCTATAAAAATTAAGCATCCTCTAAACAACTCTCATAACTATTTCTTAAGCTACCAAGTAAATTCACTATGGGGTTTCATTTGTCAAATCAAAAACTACAGTGGTGAAATTGTACAACCCTAAAAGTTATGGATGCTTAAAGAAGAAGCAATTACCATCCCCAATAAGACCAATCAGGAAATACAATATCGAGCGTCTCGTCGTTAGCACAATAACGGAACAATGGCGGCGGCGGAGGTTGATCAACTCCGGCGAATTCAGCCGCCTTCACTACCGGCCAGTCAACGCAATCAAACATGAGCTCGAGATCGGGAATCTTTCCCGGATATCTCCGTAACAGCTGTACGAATCCCCAGATCGTGAACACATCTCTCGTCTGAAAAGCCTCACGAAACTTCTCGACGTATATCCTCCCGTTGATGATCGCCAGCCGGAAATTCGCCGTCGCATTGGCGCGCTCCAAGGCTTCCCTCGTGATCCCTGTCTTCTCCCATGGCCGTAGATCCTCGTGAATCCATCGGAAATAGTCGGGACACGTGGCGGATAGAGAACGGTCTGATTCGCCTTCTCCGACGCTGGATCGGAAACTCGTCGGATAGTTGTTCTTTGGGCAAGTCACAGTGTCGTTACCGGCGAAACCGGCGCAGTTTAGCGTGAACTCTTTTGGTTTTTCCGTAATTAGCTTAGTCGACTGAGGGTATTTTGGGGATTCGGTCGTTCCTCTATCAGTCACGGCCACCGTTTCTTTCTCTATCAAAACCTATAGTTACACAAAACGTAGTCGTTTAGTAAAAATAGCGGTAGTTAGTTATTGACTAAAAACAAACACGTGAGTATTAATTAAAGCTCCTATGTAGACACGTGTCAAGCGTCCGTAACTTGTTTGACAAAAAAGTAATGGTGACACGACAAATTAGGCGCGAACGAGTTTTAACACCACTAACCAATATCCAACGTGGCAAAAAAAAAATAGTAGCGAGGAAAATGACAAACGGGATTGTCGTTTTGATGTAATTAGAAGAGAACACAAGAATCTAATTATAGTAAGATGTTCGTACGGAGGGGTCGAGGAGGAGGCGCGTGGAGAGAAACGCGCCGAGGAGGAGGAAGAGGAAGAGGGAGAAGAAGGCGTAGGATCGATTGGAAGCACCGGTGCCGGTTTTTACGAGTGGAGACCAAATGGTATCGAAATTACGAGAATGTCCTCCAGAGCTATATGACGGCGAGTTCCTCATCATCCCTCCTTGTTGTTGCATGCCAATTTGATAATCAAATAAACGTGAAAGATGAAGAAGAGAGAGGTGAGAGATTTGAAGGGTGAGAGAGAGAGAGAGAGAATGAAAGCTTTTTTTTGTGTGAGAAAAGGAAAGGACAGAGAATCATGTGAACCAGAAGAAGAAAAGGTTTGGTTTAAAACTAAACTCTTTTAATGTTTGCAAGACTTTTGATGGGTGTGTCATGTGTGTGTACCAGGAATAAATGTTTAAAAGTTTCTAGGTGAAATGTGAGACACAAAAGTACAACTCTTCTAAATGTTTTTGTAAGTTATTCGGTAAAATTTACCGAAAAAAAAAGTTATTCGGTAAATAACAAAAGAAAATAACAGAATGCGTTATTAAAAAAGAAAACGAGTGTGGCGAGTTGTTAGAAAACTTAGAATCATTGAAAGAAATTAACTTAACTGTAAGAATTTGAAATTAATATTCTATAACATTACTAAATATCAATAAATATGCAAAAATACGCATACAAATAAGTGGAAATTTTAAAAATATATTTTTTTTCAGTACCTCTTTTCAAAAATGTTTCCAAACATTGTCAATTTCAATTATACCCCCTTTATAAAAAAAATTAAAAAGTTTATAAAGATGATTATAAAATCTAATTTTAATTGCTTTACACGATTTTATAAGATTTTATTAATATGACTTGGAGGTCCCAGTCACAATAAACATGACGTATACTTTATAAAATTTATTTTAAAAAATATTTTAAATATGTAATATTTTGAATAAAAATACTGTAAAGTAGACATTTACTCAAAATTTTCTTTAGAAATAAGATGAGTTTGAAATAAAACAACACTGTAACGTTAAGGCCTAGGTCGACGCCAAGATCTAGGACTAAGCCCAAGCCCGCAATAAACGTTTTTGTAATAATGTTTTGAAATAAATTGCCTAAAGAGGCTAGTAGCTAAAGATAGACATCTATCGTAATTATCCAACCAATCAAATAATTGACATAGGACTTTTCAGGTTAGGTTCATATTTAAATATCAGTTTTAAAAAGTGACAACAACTAACAAACCGAGCATTGATTTGGACCACACTAAAGCACATTGTAGACACATGTGATTTCGAGAAAATGGACCCTTTTGTTTATCCCTTTTTTAAGTGATTTGTTCTCTTTTTTTTTTTTTGTGAAACTCAAGTGATTTGTTCTAATATCATATAGTTTCGACGATCTGGTTTACGACATGACATTTACATATATAGAGCTGTCTTGGTCGGAGTTCACTGTTCAATAAAGTTTTTAGGCTTTCGTGAGCGGAAGCCTGAAATATCACAATAATCGCAAGTCTTTGATTGAGATCATTTTTAGTGTTTGAATATTCAGAACCAATTACAAAGTTAATGGATCATTAGGTCTAATATATTTAGGAATCTGTACTCGATCATTTGCAAATATCATCATCTTGGTTCTTCTTAATTAAATGGGAACATAATGATGAGGAAAAAGCAAATAAAACGAATTATGGATTAACAAATCTTTTTAGGAGTGCCCTCTTTGACATTTTTGAATTAAAGCTCATGCTTAAGAAATTATCCATGTCCCTACCTTAATCACAACTTCACATCAAAAATCAGACTATACGCTCTTGCTTTTACATTTTCACAATATTATTCACAAAAAGTTGAATAATTTCATAAAATAGTATTATGAAATTCTAAACCGAATCCTCATTGTATATCAAGAAAACATTTAATGGTCAATCAATATGTATGAAGCGATTTTGTAATTCTGTTATTTTATTATCAGAAATTTGAGTTACTCGAAACGCTCTTTGATATATCATTTTCTTTATCGAATTATTTCATTATGATTCATGAATCATGATGCCTCCAAGAAATTGTATTTAATTTAATAAACTTAATAAACCAAAAAGATAATATAGTTAATAGGTTTCTCGATTTTTGTTATTTTCCTAAATGAGATTTCTCAATTATTTCAATGACACTGTTTCATTACTAAAGTATATTAAAACATGATAAGATATTTGAACTAAAAAGTGAAGGGTTCACAAAAACTTTGCATAAATCCGTATTTTCATATTATCTGCTTTATAGTAGTAGTAGGGACTGCTTCTATTAATTATCATTATCAACATGAATTATACCATTTATAAACTTGGCGATGCCTAACTAAAATTATATTTTTGACAAAGAAAAATAGAAATTAACAAGTAATTGGAAGAGAGTGAGAGCGATATGATTTGGGGCAGAGAAGAAAACCTAAAGCTCACACTCACAAGTCACACCTTTTTTGTTACTATTTCACGCGTGCTTTGTTCTTCCTTTGTCTCCCTATTTCACAACCCAAGAACCCTTTCCATAATAACTTATACTATAATAAAATATGAAAACACTAATCATAATTATAGTATGTATTCACACACATATACATAATCGACCTATATATATAGGCATACACACTTAGGAGCCTTTGTGCACTGCTTCATTCTCTTGAACTAAGTATTATCTTGGAGGGAGTTTCTTTTTCTAAGGGATTAAGCTTGGATATATTGAGTTTTTAAGATCATGTCTGTGAGTATCTATCTCACTCCATTCTTCTTACTTATTGTCCATATACATATATAAAGATATGAATACTAAATAGCTGAAATGTGAGTTAATTTGTAGATGTCAGTGGAGATAAGAGTTCCAAACTTGGATTGTGAAGGATGTGCTTCTAAGCTTAAGAAGACTCTACTCAAGCTTAAAGGTATTGAAAGCTTTTGAGTTTTAATATGTTTCTTCTTGGTGTAATCTAAGTATTGAGTCCTTATACAGATTTTAGTTTGGTTTTGACTTTTAAAATGTTAGTAACAACCAAAGTAAAACTAAATATACATGAATCGTTAATTATAATGCTGGTTCTCATTCTATTTCTTATTAAAGATTTGTCAGTTTTGTATATTTTTGTTTTCATTTTCTAAGATATTAAACATGAATTAATTCCTTTTAACAAAACTAAGGTTAGGCTTGGTTCACATATCTGGATAACATCTCAACCAAATCTTAACCATAATGAACCGATTAAAAATCGGAACATCGATTTTCCGGTTATCTCACATGGTCAGATGTTTTAACTAAGTTATCCGGTTGTTATTGGTTAACTTGCAGGAGTAGAAGAAGTGGAAGTAGAGATGGAAACCCAAAAAGTGACGGCTCGAGGATACCGGTTAGAGGAGAAGAAGGTATTGAAAGCGGTACGGCGGGCTGGTAAGGCGGCTGAATTGTGGCCATACCGGTTAGGTAATAGCCATTTTGCCTCTTTCTATAAATATCCTTCTTATGTGACCAACCACTATTACTCTGATGCACACCGTACGGATCCCACCGGTGGTGTCCACACTTTTTTCCACACTCCCGCGGTTTACTCCGTTGCGGTGGCCGGTGATGAGATCGCGGCTTCGATGTTTAGCGATGATAATCCCCATGCTTGTACTATTATGTAATTTTTTTTTCTAGTATACAAAATATGTTTTCTAGTATACAAAATATGTTTTCTGTTTTCCACCAAAAAAAAAAAAAATGTTTTCTGTTTATCTTTCCTTGTCCAAATTTGATGTGATGTGATCTTTTTTGTATAACTAATGTTGGAATGAGAAAGTAAACTATGTTGTTTTCAGTAAGAGTATTTAAATTAGTCTGAATAAGTTGGATCAACATGAACTAACCAAATATAATCCGATTCGAAATCTGTTTGCATACGATTAAATTGATTTGTAGTCTTTCAAGATCCGAACCACGAAACCGAAATTATAAGAAAATATACTTGAAGCCTCTCTTTCATTAAGTGCTAAACCGAAATTAAATTACGCAGGGAAGGTTTTGGTTAAATTCAAATGAAAACCGGTACAAGTGAATGAGAGACAATAACCAAGTTGGTCAGTGAATTGGTTGAAGACCGATTGGCTCCACGACGTCGTTCCAGAAGCTAACAAAAGAAGCTCTTACAAAAGTTAGAACTTAGGGTTTTTGGTAACGTGTGAGATAATTCTCTTTTCTCTACGTGTCGTCTCGGGTGAGTTCTCTTCTCTCTTTCAAGGTTTTTGAAGTAAATAAGACCTAGCGATCGTATTATTCATTTTCGACTTCATCTTAATTCGATCTGCCAATTTTGTATTGTTTCTGTAGTTCTCTCTGTTTCCTGATTTCAAACCACCACTATGGTTCAATACAGAATTTGGTTTTGTTTTTCAGTATAGTTTGTTTAGTTTTAAAATGTTAGTAATCATATGAATGTGTTAGTGTTGTCTCAGATTTTTATTATAAAATTTCATAAAGTTTTAATTCATCTTAATCTGTGACTGTCACTATACTATATCAAAGAGAGCACTTCTTCAATACAACACTCTCAATCGGAATCAAATCAGACGGAAACGCACAGTCCTCATTCTTGGCCGGAGCTTTCTTCTCCGGCAACAAACTACATGGTTCTGGCGTAACTCTGCTGGTAACTCCAGCCACATCTGTACAATTCCACTGCACCTTCTTAGCCTTATCTGCCAAAGCTATAGTCACATTCGATATACAAATACCCGTAAACGGATCTTTATGAATCCCGTCAAGACTCGCCGACATGGTAACGTTCTCCGCCGTCATATCGCGGTAATTGATATTAGTAACTTCCGGCAACGCCTTGGGATCAAATCCTTCGTCAGGATGACTATTGTAGTTTCCACTCATCCAGAAAACGTATTTCATCGTCTTCATTGTTATCCTCCTAGCGAAAATGTCCTTGACGTAAGCTCCACGTCCCGCCGCAGTTTTGATTCGGATTGCGGATTCGGTGTTGGTTAGAGTCACGTCTTCAATTCTAACGTCTTTGATTCCTCCGGACATTTCACTTCCTAAGGCTACTCCTGCACTCTTTGGGGAGATGCATGTGAGCCGTCGGATGGAGAGTTGCTGCGTTGGCATTCCGAATTTGATTCCGTATTGGTCCCAACCGCTTTTTACCGCGATGCAGTCGTCGCCGGAGACTATGTAGCAGTCTTCGATCAATGTGTTTGTGCAAGAATCTGAAAAACAGAGAAACAGAGTCGTTTCGTTTACACACTCAAAAAACAGAGGATGGTAATGTGCCACGTCAGATTCTAAAAATGCCACGTAGGATAATGATATTGCCACGTAGGATAAACATTTACCTGGATTGATTCCGTCGGTGTTGGGAACAGTGACGGGAGCAAGAACGGTGACGGATTTGACAATGACGTTATTACAATAGACGGGATGAATATTCCACGATGGTGAATCGATCAATGTGATGTTCGAGATTTGAATGTTTTTGGAGAACAAGAGTTCGATCAAGTATGGTCTTGTTAACTTGAATTGCTTCTTTTTGAATTTATCCCACCAATATTGTCCCTGTCCGTTGATAGTTCCATTGTTACCTATAATCAAGAAAACAATCAAAACCGGAATCGGAATTTTTTTTATTATATAACCGAAAACATGGTGTGATTGTGTTGGAACTTACCGGTTATAACCACGTCGGTTAAGTTTGTACCGGAGATGAGACTGTTGAATCTCCCGGTTCCGGTCCCGTCTCTTCCTTTCCCGTAAGATGGCAAAGGAGCGATCACTGGCCATTCAGATTCATCCTGCAGTGTTTGTCAAAACCGGAGTGGTTTTTGTTTTGATATTATTATATTGTTATAGGTCGAACCGAACCGGGAGCATACACTCATTTTCATGCATTTAGATTGTGTATCAAAAGAAAGCTAACTCCAACGTCTCTACTAGGCAAAATTTGATTCATTATGAGTAGTTTGATTTGGTCAAATCAGTATAGCTTGCTATGGTAAGTGAAATTAAAGACGTTTAATTTGGATTCAACACAGCCTAAACCAAAAACTGATACAAAATTATTGCTTGTTTACTATTGTTTTTAAAAGTATTAAAAAAAAATTGAATGCAAGCGTTTTAAAGACACTTACCTGAGATGCAAGGATGGTAGCCCCTCGTTGGATGAACAAAGTAAAGTGGCTGGTAAGGTTAAAACTTCCCGTAAGCCATTTTCCGGGAGGAACTACGAGTTGAGCTCCACCGTCGGTTGCCATTTGGCTGAGCTTGCTTATGGCTTTCTTAAACGCGTTTGTATTAGAAGTTTTTCCATCTCCAACCGCACCAAAGTCAGTCAATATTGCACTATGTTTCCGGCAATTCAATGCTGAAAATCTAATCCCTGAAGACACCACATTTTGGTGACTCCGGGACTCAATCGCCGGAAAGCTGAGTATAGCCAAAATGACTAGAATACCAAACATTGGCCTAATCATCTACACAACATAGAAACATGAAAAATATATGAACATAACTGACGGAAGATATTGGATATTCAAAATTTATCAAATTAGTATTTCCAGGAATATATTTTATTTATTGATTTAGATAATTTAATCTTCTATAGTTTTTTTTTGCTATGAAATTTAATCTTCTATAGTTTTGATAACAAAAATTGTATAAGTTAAGCAATATTCAACATCTAATAAACTATAATCTTGTAATTTTGTCACAAAGAACGAACAATAATGCATATTATTAGCGGATATATGAATATACAAACTTCGACAAACAAATGAAATTACAACAATATTTTGTTTTTGGAAGGAAAAATAAGAAAAAAAAAATGTTCATTACCTTGAGATATTTTAAAGCTTTGAAAACCAAAGAATGAACAGAGAAATATGTCTTCCTTCTGGTTTGATTGTCTGTGGGAGACAACAGAAGATAGTGACATACAATATATGGGATCCCTAAATATTTATAGATTTTTTTTCTCAAAAAAAGGAATATAGATTATTTTTTTCCCGACTGAAATTACGTACATGCACTTTTGGTAATTCAAATTGTATAGTATTTTAAGTAACATATTTCCTAATAAAATAACCAAAAAGTCTAAAACAAGAAAATAATAATTAAAAGGAATATATATATATGATTTTGTTTCCATATGATTTTTTTTTCATCTTTAAAATAACACAACTCTCATTGCTGACCTGATTCTTACCAATTTTAAATTTGGACCACTACATTTATAGAAATATGTTATTAAATGTGTTATAAAATCCATACATTTATATCCATACAAAATATTTTTTCAATTTTCTCAATGATATAAAATCCATACATTTATATCATTGAGAAAATTGAAAAATATTTTGTTAATTAAATGTTTAATTTCATTTACTATATATTAAGAAAAAAATCCTAAAATAATAAATATTATCATGAATTTTATTCAGGAAAGTTATTAGTTAAGATTAACACACTTTGACTAATTTTGAAATCATTCATCTTATCAGAATTTTTTAATATATATTTAGGTAATTGATATAAGTATAAAATATTAGTCATAGCAAGGCCACATCTTATTTTCTTTTGCACATTTGGTAGTTTATTTGTTGCAATTGATAGCTACTTTGTTTGCTTTTCAATATATGAGAAATAAACACTTGCTAGGAATAGATTTGTTAAACTTTGGACTAAACACTCCTAGGGTTGTGATAAATTTGCATAGATCCGAAAACATTAACGTATTTTGCTCTTATATACTCATGGATTTTCTTTTAAAATTTTCCATGCATGTGTCTTCATATGTATATGTATAGCAAAAGACGATCTTATGACTTCTTGATAGGTGTTGATAATGATGAGAATTTGTATTTAGGATCTAGTTAATATTTCTTTCCATTTCTGAATCTTCATACTTTTTCTTCGACAATGCATTAGCAAGCAATCATTTTTAAGCGTATGTTGATCATTTGCAAGATCACTTGCAAAAGACGTTTTTATAGTTGTTTGCGTTTTGTAAAAGTATTTACGACAAACTAAAATCATTCACATTAATGCAAAAAATTAGTTACGTTTGAAACAAACGAAATCTTAGTTTTAATGAGAGACTTCAAAATGAAGATGAATTAATGTCAGCAAAAAGGAAAAAGATAAACGTCTGCGTTTCTTGAACTTTATGTACAAATGTTACATTTTAGTTATTTAACATTTACATTACGAATCATAAATCATAAACCTGCGCATGTTCGCAGATCCTAAATTCCTAATCTAGAAAACATGACCAGCACATCTTTTCAATACAACATTCTCAATAGGAATCTTTTCCGTCGGAAAAGTACACTCAAACCTAACTCCCGGATGCTTATCCGGCAACAAACTGCACGGCTGCGGCTTAACACTTCTTGATTCTCCGACGATATCCATACAATGGAACTGCTGCTTACTCGCATTCGGCGAAAGCGATATACTAACATTCGACATGCATACACCCGTAAAAGGGTTGCTTTTCATCCCTTCGAGCTTTGCCGAGGTCGAAACGTTCTCCCCCGTTATATCACGGAAATTGATATTGGTAACCACCGGCTTGGCCTTGGGAATATTTCCATCTCTTGGAATTGGTTTGTGTGATCCGGTCATCAAGAAAACGTATTTCGATGTCTTGATCGTGAATCTCCGAGCCCAAACATTTTGAACGTAACCGCCGCGGCCCATGGCGGTTTCAATTTTGATGGCGGATTGTGTGTTGTGTAGAGTTACGTCTTCCATTCGTACACCTTTGATTCCTCCGGACATTTCGCTTCCCATGGCTATGCCTGCACCGTTAGGGGCAATGCATGAGAACCGTCGGATCAAAAGCATTTCGATTGGCCTTCCAACTACGATTCCGATTTGGTCGATTCCACTCTTGAGGCCGATGCAATCGTTGCCGGCCGGAGACTACGAAGCAATCTTCTATTAGTGTGTTGAAGCAAGAATCTGTGGAACCAATGAAAACATACATTTGGATTACCACGTAGGGGATGGTAAATCATACATTTTGATCAAATAATTGTAGACACATGCATTATTCTAAAATTAAAGATTGATTGTCACATATATTTTAATTGCAACTATAATAGAAATAAAATAGAAAATGTTATATCAGTTTTGTATAGAAAATATAAAACATGTATACCTGGATTGATTCCATCCGTGTTAGCGGAATCGATAGGATTAGAGATTTTAACACCTTTAATGATGACGTTCCTGCAATACACAGGATGGATACTCCACATCGGAGAATCGATCAAATTGATATTCGAAATCTGAACATTTTCAGAGGATTGAATCTCGATTAACATTGGTCTTTGTATGGACTTGAAACCACCATTTCGATACTTTGCCCACCATGACTTCCCTTGTCCATTGATTGTCCCTTTGTCACCTAATGAAATAACATATAGTCTTACAAACCATTAATATCCATTTGATTTTGTCGCATGCCCATTAAGTTGTTTGATGGATGTTAATATATATTTTCTTTGTGTGTGCTTACCGGCGATAACAACATCGGTTAGGTTGCTTCCGTAGATTAAACTAGCAAACCTTGTATCTCTGTATGAGGGCAACACTTGAAGCATGGGATATTCAGATTCGTCCTGTTTGTTTAAAACCAAATGTAATTATTTATCTAAAGATCGAAGAATAATTGACTAATCTTTGTATCTATACAGGCTGATATAATACTATTTGATACAACACAAATGTGGCAGTTGGTTCAATTCTCTTTTATTTTGGTTAGGCATTGATCTACTTGATTAGGTTCTGTTTTGTTTGTTCCATTGTTTTCTGACGAACATGGATCTGTATAGGTCAAAATGAGGCATATGAAAATAGGCGATTGCAAAGATTTGTATAGTAGATCAAAAGTTTATATGAATTACTAGATATATAAAAGCTAATTATAAACCTAGGAACCTAAACATAGACATTACCTGAGAAGCAAGGATGGTTGCACCTTCTTTGATGTGCAAAGTAAAATGGCTCGTGAGGTTGAAACTTCCGGTTAGCCATTTCCCTTTCGGGACAATGAGTTGGCTTCCACCATCGCCTGCTCTCGAAGTAAGGTTTCTTATGGCTTCTCTAAACGCTTTCGTGTTTGAGGTTTTTCCATCTCCAATAGCTCCAAAATCCGTCAAAATCGCACTTTGTCTCCGACAATTCAAGGCCGCATGTTCAACAAAATCCCTACTAGGTGTAGGAAACCGAGCTGAGTGTGTCCCATCGCTTTTGAGGGATTGTGATTCTATCACCGGAAAATCGAATATAACCAAAACAACTAGTATGCAAAAACTTGTCCGAATCATCTCTTAAAAAAACAAATGAATCAATTAGCTTCCTTTCTTTATTTATAGATGTGAATTGGTTTACCAATTTAAGCGACGAGCTATAAAAAAACGTTAACGCACGGGTCCATAGCCTTTTGATTATTGTAGAGGCTATATTTAAAGTTTAAACTTTCTTTCTTTCTTTTTTTTTTTCTTTTTTTTTCATCTTGTAATATTAAAATTCAAGGAAAGGATACATACGAAGAATACAAAGCCGGACACACGGGAATCAAAGCTCGCAATTTCCAACTTAACTAAGCTCGGAAATTCGAGAGACAAAGCTCGCAAATTCCAACTAAACTAAGCTCGGAATTTTAAGAGACAAAGTCCGCAGATTCCGACTAAACTAAGCTCGGAATCTCGAGAGACAAATCCCGACAACACGGGAAACAAATTCTTATACATACAAAAGCTCTTAAATGAGATATGCAAACAATCTCTTTCTTTATTTATTTTTGGCTACATTTAAACTTATGATAAATATAATTTGTTAATTTATAGATGAAAAGAGTTCAATTTTATTTTTATTTTGAATTTAATGTTAAATTATATTCAAAGAAAAAATAACGTTTTTACAACAAGTGCAACGTGAATTTGAAAGTGATTAAACCCAAAACTGAGAATAAACTTGAAATAGATAAGAGATTAGGATCGGCTTTGAAGCCAAGCTTGAAAGCATGCTTCATATCGGCGATCCTTAATTCTTCTGATCATTGATATTTGGTTCTTCACTTGAGTATCAATCCATTTAATAAGCTGACCTGCAGTTCTAGATGCTTCACCGTGCCTCCTTCCATTTCTTTCTCTCCATATAGAATAAACGGTGGCTTGGAATGTGTATCTTAGAAGGAAACTATCTACTCGGCTTTGACGGTGGTCTGAGACCAGTCGTTGGAGTAGTGAGTCTTAAGAACTCCTTTGCCCAGCGCAGCCCAAACCTCGGAGGCATAGTCACAAGCGAAGAACAGGTGATTCCGTGATTCGATACAATGGCTGCATAGAACACAATCCCCTGATGCTCCGCTGTTCCACTTAAGCATACGATCTCCTGTTGAAAGAGTTCAATTTTAGAAGTCTTATATCCTAAATTACATAAAATATATAAAAGTCAGTTTCACCCGTTATCAATTTTTTTTTCCTTTATCAATTATTACGAGTCATATATATATATATATAAGATTTTTATTTTGATTCTTTAATTTTAATCATTTTATATATAAAGATGGTATGACTTTGAATCATTATTAAAATAAATTTTAAGTTACATTTTTATTAACATTCGTTACTATAAAAATAACACAAATTTTTTAAAATATCTATATTATCACGTATTATCTCACCTGGTTCAGCTTGACATCTTTAGTTTTTGGTTTAATTTTTTTTAATCGTTTTGCATATTATCCCTGTTGCATAGCGTTGTATGATTTAGAAGAAATGAGCTAAGAAAGTTTCTTGAATGTACGACACAAATTTTTTGAGGGATAGACCGGTCGAACCTACTCAAAAGGTTCAAGAGAAACGGTTAAAAGTGGCGGCAAACAAGGTTGTGGTGACCGAAGAGGCCGTGGTCGCTCCCATGAAGTTGTATAATATTTATAGAGTATACCACGTCAAGATCGGATACTGAATCGGATCTGAGGCTAACCCGACCCGACGTATGTAATTGATTGGATTCACCTGTTCTCCTCCCATCGAGAGTTGGGTTGTTGTTGTTGGAGAGTGGTTTGTACGTTACCGGTGAGCTTATTAGTTATTTTTCCTTTATTCTGCCAACGTGTCATAATTCAGTTTTTTTATATAGTAAACCGAAACTGAAAAATAATTTTATCACTTAAGTATCAATAATATCATTAATAATAATTATCTGATACCAAAAAAATATGGCTGAATTCTGAAATATCATTATTAGTTGGGTGCATTTTAGGAATTTGTGTAAATTATAATGATCGTGCACAACACAATAAACTGGACAAAATAGCATTTGTTTATTTTTCTTGCACGAATAATTGAATTTAAGAAAAAATAGAGAAAGTCATTATAAGCCAACGAGAGACAGGGCATTGCTTAATCCAGCTCAGTTTTCGTATCTACTATTCTCACTATCTCTATAAAATAATCGAGTCAAAAAAAAAAATCTCTATTAAATAATCGAATTTCTAATTCATTAGAAAAGTTAATCAGAAGAGTTCTCATCTTATTTGATCAATCGTAACATCGTAGCTACCACAAGAAAACATGACTCTAGAGGAGCAGAAGAAAGTCATAGAGCCCGAGACCGTGGCATCGGACCCATCACCACCATCCAAGGAGGAGAAGTCGGACGATTCGAAAGCTATTGTTCTCGTCGTCGCTGCAAGTAACAAATCGTTCAAATTTCAAAGAACAAGAATTACATTTTTAAATTGCAAAAACTGTTTTTACTTCAACTTTTTCATATTGTTCGTTTTCTCTATTTTTTTTCTTGTTCACAATATAGTTTTTTTTTTTTTTTTTTTTTTTGGTAAACATTCACAATATAGTTTATAACACTTGTTGTTTGTATATATCTAATTTAACTCGGTCATGTAAACAGTAAACTAAATGGTTTTTTTGGTGGCAAAATAATGTTATTTTCGGTAAAGAACAACCTTTTCAATTGTTTTTTGTTGTTGTTGCAGAAGAACCTGCGGAAGAGAAGAAAGAAGGTTCAGTTCACCGAGGTAAATGTTTAACTTTATGTAATTTCAGTAATTTAATTACCTGATAATAATAGTTATTTTTAATTTCTCTTGTTTTTTTTCTGATAATTTGTGGTGTGTGTGTGTGTATGAAGATGCTGTTTTGGTTAGACTCGAGCAAGATAAGAGGATATCTCTCATCAAAGCTTGGGAAGAGGCTGAGAAATCCAAAGTGGAGAACAAGTGAGTTCTTCTTTTCTTAAACATATTTAAGCTTTTTTAATGATTTTTTTTTTTTGATTCCATGATTTTTTTTTTAATGTAATCTAATTTATAAACTTTATGAAACAGAGCTCAGAAGAAGCTTTCTTCAGTTGGAGCTTGGGAAAACAGCAAGAAAGCTTGTGTTGAAGCTGAGCTTAAAATGATTGAGGTAAATGAGTAATTCATTATTCTTTCAATTTTGTTGTCTTATTTTTTTTTTTCTTGAAATGCTTCCACTTTTTACATTCATCTAATTTATCCCCTGGAAATATGAATGATAACAGGAGCAACTTCTTAAAAAGAAAGCACGTTACACAGAGCAAATGAAGAACAAAATAGCACAAATCCACAAGAAAGCTGAAGAGAAGAGAGCGATGACCGAAGCTAAACGCGGAGAAGATGTTCTCAAAGCCGAAGAAATGGCTGCAAAGTACCGCGCCACAGGAACTGCTCCAACGAAGCTATTTGGATTGTTCTGATCTATAAGGAGAAATGGTCTCTGATGTTGCTTTATGGTTTCATTTGTTATTTACTTGAGAAAGGAAGGGATTATTTGTGGGTTTAGTAGGTGGTTGCCTTGGTGTGGGTTAAATTTGTCCAAAAAAAGAAAGTTACATGGCCATAATGTAACGTCTTTCTTATGTTTGGGCCGTAATGTGTTTACTGTTTTACTCATTGGCAATTTGTAGAGAGCGGTCATAAAAGAGCCAATAAGGGTTTTTGAAGATTTTTTAAGGGAAAAAAAATATACATGGTTTACTAGTTAAGCCTTAGGTGATCATGATGTAATTTAAGATATTTATCGGTTAAATCCGTGAAAGTAAATATATTAAAAAATATTGTAACTTTTTAATGTAGCAAAAGAAAAACTAAACAAGAATACAAAAAAAAAAAACCCAAAATTTTGCACCTTTTTTAGATTATATTTTATTGTCAATTCTTAAACCAAAAAAGTAAACAAAACACACCCAGGCCATACCAAAAATTAGGGATTTTCTATCCTTAGGCCTAAATACTAAGGCCCACAATTCAGGGCCCAAAACTTTTTGTGGTAAAGTATAATCTCACGTAGAAATGTCTTACTCTTATATATAAACAAGTCTTGCAAATTAGGGTTTTCATTTCAGTCATCGCTGCCGCACTATCGTCTCCTACCTCCTTTGCCTTGAAGCTTTCACGCGGGAGCTCAACATCAGCCATGGCGGAACAGGTTACTTGATCTGTTCTCTCTTCTTAAGATTATCCTCGTTTTATAATCTATCGATCCTTATTCACTTAAATGATTCTGATACTCTTTCTCTTTTCTCTTTTACTGATTTTCAGACTGAGAAAGCTTTTCTTAAGCAGCCCAAGGTCTTCCTTAGGTAATTTCGCGATTCGATTTCTCTCTGTTCTCTTTGGTATTTAAGTTCCAAGTTGTTTATATTGTTCATTGTTTGTGTTTAATCAAGCTCGAAGAAATCTGGAAAAGGGAAGCGACCTGGGAAAGGTGGAAACCGTTTCTGGAAGAGCATTGGTTTGGGCTTTAAGACTCCTCGTGAAGCCATTGATGGTATGTTTAAGCTTTTCACTCGTTATTCTAGATAAAGAACTCTGGGATTGTGTTGTTCGTATAGTTGATAGATTCATAGACTTCAAATGCTATTTGTCTGGTTGAATCTTAAGCCTTGATTTGGATCTGCATTACTGTTCCCATGATTCCAATAGTTGATATTGATCAAGCTACTGATAATGAGAATCATAGTCTGATGAAATAGAGTGAAAATGTTTCTTAGAAACCTCTAAGTCAGTCAGATTCTGAGGAGATTGTGTTTGTTGTTGTGTGGAACAGGAGCTTACGTTGACAAGAAATGCCCCTTCACTGGAACTGTTTCCATTAGAGGTCGTATCTTAGCCGGTACTTGCCACAGTGCCAAAATGCAGAGGACCATTATCGTGCGAAGGGATTACCTTCACTTTGTGAAGAAGTATCAGAGGTAATAACATACTTACATTCTCGTACTTGTTCCATAGAGTCTTATACATTGATGTTAAGAAAGTATTATCCTTATTGTTCTTAGGTATGAGAAGAGGCATTCGAACATTCCTGCTCATGTATCTCCATGCTTCCGTGTTAAGGAAGGAGACCATATCATCATTGGCCAATGCAGGTTATGATCCGATTCAGACTAACACCATTGTCTCTATTGATTCTGATTTTTGTGAATTTGTTTTGATTTTTTTTCTTGTAATTTGATCATTTCAGGCCATTGTCGAAGACAGTGAGGTTCAATGTGTTGAAGGTGATACCTGCTGGGTCTTCTTCTTCTTTTGGAAAGAAGGCATTCACTGGAATGTAAGCTTAAACTGTTGCTGTTGATGTTAGTTTATGTTTCTGGATAGAGCTGAATTATGTTTTATGGTGATTTTCTTATTGAATTTTTCCAGACATTTAAATTTTGTTTACTTTGCTGAATCTTCTTCATCCCAATCTGTGATCTCTATTTAAGACCTAGAGTTTTATTACCCCTTTCTTACTTTGTCTGATAATCCGGTGTTAAAACCGGTTAGACGGACCAGTCCAATTCAATACTCTCTAGTTCGGTATAATTGATGTTCTTAGTCAAACTCTTAATGTAATTACGTCAAATTATCAACTAAGAAAGCGTAAAAGGATGTTGAAATAGTGAAGGAATTACAAATTTGTTGGAAGTGTAATTTAAAGTATTTATTTATTTACTCTTTAGCCTCTTCTATGTAAATTAACCGTCTACTCTTTGTACTTGTACCTCTCTTCGAACATTTACATTGGTCGTAGCTCGTTGATGAGACTACCGATCAAAAAATTGTCATAAAATGAAGTATCATCCTCGAACAAAAAATCTGAAGTTGGTACGAAATCAGGCAAAGGGTTGTTTTCCAAATAACACGGGCCACATAATCCAATGAATCCTCTCTCTTCCGGTACAACAAGGTTTTGAACAAAGCTAGACTTTTGAGTTGACTGATCCATAAGCAAACTGTGATCTAACCAATCAGAGAACACGAGACTTGGCGAAAAGCTTGAGATTTGAGCATTAAATGTTTCTGCGACATTGATAGATGAAGCAGATCTTTCAGTTGTACTCTGCAAGGCCTCAAGTGAGTTTGTGATTGAAGGTGTTTGAGGGGTTCTTGTGGTTTCATGTTGTGTCAAAGTTACAACACCCTTCTTTAGATTGGAATGCCAATAGTTTTTGATTTCGTTGTCGGTTCTGCCTGGTAAAAATTTCGATATCTGTGACCATCTTGTAAAAAAACAAAAAAAGGTGTCAATTATGAAAATATATGCTAAAACACATACATACTGTATATCAATATCAAGGCAATATTATAAATTAAAAGTCTCGTGTTTAAAAATTCTAAACCATAAACATGAAGTCCGAAACTCCATAAATCCTAAATCCTTCTTAATGATAAAACCAAAAAAAAAAAAAATTGGGTGAATGACTCACTTGTTACCCAACATGGAATGGAGTGAGAGAAGTATAGTTTCCTCTTCTTTAGTGAATAAAGACTTCTTAAGTCCAGGTCTTAAATAATTAACCCACCTTAATCTACAACTCTTCCCATTCCTCTGCAATCCTATACATTATGTAAAAACCATATTAATTACATAAATAAGCCGATACATTATTCAAGCATATAAACGAAATACTGAAAAATTCAAGCATATCGAAAGTGCCTAACTATTTTATTTGTAATAGTGAAAAATTCATCTAATTAGCAGACTAGATACTGGTTACTATGCAGTTATAAATGTTGCATGCTTTCTTCCAAATTTTCTTAAAAATAATAATCACAAGATATATATATATATATATATATATATATATATATATATTAATAAAAATTACCAGCTTGAATAGGAATGGTGCTCCAGCATCCATGGCCATATTTGAGGACATGACTCCTAAGCTTCTCATCTTCCTCCGGTGACCATAATCCTTTCCTTTGCTTCTCCTTTGATTTCATTTTCGGGTTTGATTTTTCTGATTTAAACACCATTGTTATTTTTCCTAAGTTATTTAATTTAAATATTTATAAATATATACGTATATGATACTGAATAAATATATGTAGATTGGTGATGACAATCTTTGACACAGATACGTAATTCGAAAGGGGGAAATATATAGACAGTTTTGAAGGTCAAGTTTTAAATAGTTTAATTAAAATAAAACTAGAACTATTCATATGAAAGAGGGCTTGTTCCACACGAAACCAATATTTTGTAGATGACATATCGCATTTGAAACACTGCACCAAATTTTTTTTAATTTTAGGTGGAGCCTGACCCTTTGAATTATAGTGTCATAACTTCAATACGACAGTACATTTAAATAAACAAATCAACATTTTTTATTATTATTTTATTTTGACAAAAAAACATTTCTGTATATATTAAAAATATATTTTGTTTCAGGACAATGACTTTTGTAAGTTTGTCTTTGTTTTGCTTGCCTTTTCAAATTATCTTAGGGGCTAACTTAATAAATCTGCCACAATTATATAGTGATCACTAGTGAGTTTATTTATTTGCTTGCAATTATTATTATTTTCTGTGAAATATAAAGATTAGCAACTAGTCGATTAGTCTATCAATTTTTTAATATGCATAAGTGGACATTTTCACAGTAATCCACCAGCAATATGTCTTGGTAAAACTTAAATTAAATAATACGCATTGTGAAATGAATTATTCTTATTGGTTATGACTTATGAATAGAAATAGTCTAATTCAACTGTGTAAGTTAGTAAATTTTCTAAGGATATAGTGTTGAAGAAGACTTTTGCAACTTATAAATGAAACCTACTTGCCTTCCTCAATAAAAACTCTTGTAAAAAATAAACAGACAAATTATTGGTGAATTGGCTTTTGTTTTTGTTCTTTATATTATAATAAGACGTATTTGTTTATATTATTTATGACAATTTTAAAATAATAACATTATTGTTTTGACAACTACAAATAACTTGATAATTTTTATCAGTGTCGTCGTTGTGTCACTGGTTGAATTTAAATTTGATAAAAATATATATATTATTGACGGAAGAAGAATTACATGGCTTTATTATATATAAGTTCTACAAAATAAATAGAAAAACAAAAACAAAGAAAATGATGTAATATTGTATTACTTTAATATTACGGTTCCATATATATTGGTGAAAATTTATAATATAAGTTAGAAATTTTTCACAAAACATTTAACAAGGTTTATGAATCTCTCCAAAATTAAGAAACGTTTTTTAAACTTCCTACAAATAAAATTCCGTTTGAAAACTTTGGGAAGGTTATATTATTATACCTAACATGTTATGAATTGTTGTTTAGCCAAAAAAAAAAAACATGTTATGGATTGTTTTGGTTATTACTAGTTACAAAATTTTAAAAACATGAAATATTTTTTACAATGCCTCTCTATTATATTGATGATAAGTGATAGAAATGAGTCAAATGACGCCTTCACTGAGCAAAAGACCTTGGCAGCCGACACTGTGATGACGTTAGCTGCGGATTAGTTATCTTGACATTACTCTTTACAAGTGATTGTATAGTTTATTTGTTTTAATTCAATAAGATTCCAATATCGTTTTCTGTGCTACGACTTATTAGCATGGTTTTGTTATTGCATATAGGGAATTTCCAATCTAATCACACAATGACACAACACATATTGACATATCACGCAATGATGCATATGCTTGTACTGATATTTACATGACCATATGTCGATCATATCATGTCAATCATTTGCAAGAAATTAACAGGTATGAACAAAAGGTTTTATTTATGGATTTAATCTAGTGTTATTGACATATGAGTATAGTTTGCGTATGATGTCTATTGTGAACTATACATTATCATTTAACGATCTATAATAATAGATTAATAGTAAAGAATTCGTTACTCATTATCAAAAGAGAAATAGTTAAAGACGTATATTGTTTGGAGTCAACTCTTAACCCCCATTTGCGGATAGAAATTGACGAAATATATAATTGTGATAGTAAGAGGTTTATGCATTTTTTTTTTTTCTTAATTCTTTTGGTCACCAAGAAGAGGTGTGTCGATTAAGGAAAGTTTAATTAAGAAACAGAGAAGTGGTTCTATTAAAACAGTGACAATATAGTTTGGCTAAATACTTGTGGTTTTACTTAAAACATATAAATAAAGCTCGCCTACCCAGCTTATCTAATCCCACGTTGCAGTAATTAAGTCAACAATGTATTAAAAAGTCGTGGACCAATCATGTATTTTCTCATTTCTATTCATTTTTGTTTTTTTTTGGTGTGAAAAAAACCAAAAAAAACAAAAAAAAAAACATTTTTATCTACCACAAACATGTTTTTTTTTTTTTTTAATTTGAATTGGGATTATATCACATCGTTTATTTGTAGAGATGTTTTTTTTTTCTGACACACATATATAAAAATCAATATTTGATTGGTTACTTAATCCAAAAGACAAAATTTTACACCAAAAAAAAACCTTACTAATCTTTTTTTTTTTTTTTTAAATGGGCAAAAAATTAGGTCAAACGTTATTTTTGTTTATAAACATAAGTTTTTTTCGTTACAGTTTTATATCAGTGATGTCACCGTACTTCCTTTTTAGATATTTTTTTTGTAAACAAAAGAGTTTAGATCCACATCTAAACTAATCATCAAAGTCAATTAATGAATTCGTAAAACAAAACTTTAAGTAAAAGGCTACTACTAATTAATATGCATATACACCTCTTCAAAAATATTTGATCGACCTTTAACAAAAAATAATCTTATACTAGTTATATTGGTAAATGTCTTTATTGGAAAGAGTCTCTCATAAATTTGTTTTTATTGGTACATTTTGGTTTGTCATTATGCATGCATATCGAAAGAATTGTCCACTGGTGATTGTCATCGATGCATTCAATTGGAACCTTCCCATCATTTTTTTTATTGCACTGCAGAAAAAGTGTTATGTTCAAGCTCTAAACTTTCTTGAGCTCTTTCTTAAAATACTTGTGGTATCTTAACAAAAATACAAAATAATATTATACATGAAAAGTTATTAAATAAGAGAATTATTTCAATAAGATAATTTTCCGTGAGCTATACGCTTGTTAAATTGAATCAAGCAAGGCAAGGTAGAGAAGAAATATGATCAACAAAATAGAAAATATAGCTTTAAAGTTTTAATAGTTTTCATGAAATCTACAAAAACGAAAATAAGATAAAAGCACTCATAACAAAATTATCATAAATGATCTTCTTATGTTTCAGAGGATAATGTCTTTCCTGATATTTTCAAGAAAGATCCTAAGCTCTCTAGCTTTCTTGCAATGTTCTTCATCATCTGTCTCTGAATCACTCAGCTCAATCACAGTCTCAAGTTGGTGATCATGTCTCTTCTGTTCTTGATGACTTCTTGACACGCTCCGTGAACGAGCTTCAGGACAAGGGCTTATCAGATCAATGACTTCTGTTTCCAGATACAATGATAAGGAACTCGGACCAACACCGAATCTATCCCTGGTCGACCAAGCGTTATTGCAATTTTCTCTATCAGGTGAATCGATAAGACACAAGTAGTCATGTTTCTTGGAGTTTTGTACTTCGTTCTCTTGCTCTGCTTCTTCTACGGTGCTTCTAGTTACTAGAGAGGTTGAGTTGAGATCAAGGTGTTGGAGTTCGAGGCTGAGTTCGGCAAGAGAAGAAGATTTGGTCGGTGAACTCGTTTCCTTGTGTTTTTGTTTCGGCTTCGGTTTCTTCTTCTTTGCTGCCATTTTCTCCTTGAACTCTATGATCTTCTCTGGACAAGCCCTGAAAAGAAACAAGGAGAATAAATATGCAAAACCAGAAAGAGAACAGTAACTCAGTGAACACCAACCATAAACTGAACCATATTTTGTGTTATGTGACAAATAAAGAGAAGTAATTTTGGCTGCATAAGTAGATCTACTAACTCAGACACTATTTCAGTTCACTGATTCATAGTGAATTAAGCTTTTGCATTAAAGGCCAAAACAACACAGGTTTAATCAATGTCAATCCCTTGAGCTAAATGTTTAGATTTCTAGTCAACTTTATTCCCAGCCTTGAGTAAATGATTGAAGGTCAGACTTTGATCACTATCATTACCTTTCTACAAGATCTGCAGGAACAATGGACGTCTCTAACCCTTCTAGATCATTCCATGAGACTTCAAAACATTCTCGTCCCTGTACTTTGCGGGTCTTTATGATTTCAGACACCGGACACTTTTCTGGCATCTGCGGCTGCAAGAGAATTTTTTTTCTTGCAAGGGTTAAGACAAGTTCTTGTTTAACTTCCAACTGATTTCTGTAAAGGAAAGCCAGTTAATTTTAAGCTGCTGGTTTCTCAAAACTCAAAACAAAACCTTTTTATGTACCGTATGAATTTGATGAATTCATGTTTTATAGTAAATTCTAACTGAGCCGAATTGTTCTTATGTATTTGCTTCAGCAGTTGACAACGTGATTCTTGAACACAATAATCATAGCCTGGGACATTTCCGAGGAACTAAAATCTATAGCTAATAACTTGCATAGAAAGAGCGAGAGAAGGGTACCTTGTGGAGGATAGCGAACCTTCTCAGATTTCTTTCAGCAACTTTAGGAAGTATGTATTCATCTAAATGCAAGATAGAGAAAAAGAAGAAACGTTGGTTTCACAATTGGTTCTGCACAATGTCTGCAAATGCAACCTACAAGGAATAAGAAATATGTATAAATACAAAGCCAGTAATACCTGTTTTCTCAGGGGGCCACTCAAATAACTGATGGCATATCTCCTGAAGCTTGGTGCGCTGGAAAGAGAACTCAGCTAAGGCCCTGCAAAACCAGAAGTATTTATATTATATCATTTCCTATATACAAAATCTGAATAGACATTCAACTTTTTTTCAAAGTTCACTATTCTCCATTCCTTTTATAAGCTTGTTTCTCATCAGACATTCCTTGATTTCTTTCAGGCATTTGAGGAAGCATTTTAATTCAGGACAAAAATTGGTGATTCCTTGTGGCAGATGATTGCTACAAATGTGTACGTGCTAGCTCTAAGAATAGGTATAATCTGGAGCAGAATGATCATCACAGGACTGACAACAAAGAAATGGAAAGAAGTATTAACCTGGAAACTGTAGCAGAGTCTGCTTGGTGGCACTTGGGGTCCATGAACGCATCGATCACCTGCTTGATCTGTTCCAGTCCTTCTGGTTCACGATTATTTCCTACAACAAGTTGAAATTACGGAAAGAGCTTTTCAATGATAAATAAACATTCTGTTTGGTTTAACACCAAAATCATGTCATATCAAAAAACACAAAGAAGTTGTTGCTTTCAATACCATTTACAACCACCAAAGGTAAGGTCCCCTTTTTGCTGCACACAGAAGGCCTAACTTGCTTCTTAGACTTTCTCGGCTTTTCTGCAAAGGCAAGTCCTTCTGATGCAACCTTTTCAAGGATAACATTTTCTCCAATCGACCTAACAAGCTCACAAGCTTTCTCCTGTACACAGAAGAAGTTTAATCGTGAGTCTTTTGTATTCCAACTACTGATAAAACACACAAACTAGAATAATATACAACCCCGATAGACGAAGGTTTAAAAGCTTGAGTCATCAACACACCTGACGAAGACCACGAACTCCCTGAGAGTAGTCACTGCCAAGCAAAAGTGCTAGAGC